CGCGCGCTTCCGCTCTTGCAAGAGGGATCAAGAGGGCTTTCTGCCGCGCAGCCACCTGAGAGCTCAACATCGCAGCTGGCATTCTCGCCATGAGAGCCTCAAAGTGCAGTCATGGTCATGGCCAGATTACAGAAGCTCGGCGGAGCAGATGCGCTTGCACGCGTTCATTGCCAAATAACCGCATTCCTCACTTGTGCCCCTGACTCGGGCCTCACTTGTGCCTGTAACTTGCCTGTAACTCTGATCTTGCTTCTGCCCCTCCGAGGTTTGCTTGGCTTCTGGTTTGGGGTTGCCGGGGCTCTAAGGCACGACTTTTGGCTTCAGGTCCAAGGTCTCGAATCGGATTCACTCGGTCTCCCTTCTTAGGGAGTCGTCTCCGAAGGCTTCCGGTGCAAGGTTTCCTGGTGGGCTCATTCCTTCGGCGTTTCCGGTTGGGTTCAGCTTCTGATGCGACTGTGAGGTCCAGTCTTATCGGCTTTCCTGTCGGTTTCACTCCTTTCGGGTCATGTGTAAAACATGCAGCTCGGGAACGATAGCTTGTATGTGGGAAATACACTTTAACAAAACACGCGATTGAAACCAACAGAAGCATAGCGATGATGCAGTAGTAAAACGTAAGCAGTAAATGTGTATGTTAATTATCATCACATTTTTTGCCATCACCTTAGAGTTACTTACAACCCGGAACCCCAAGCCCTGAACCAAATTCTATAAGGACTCTCGCCTATTTATATAGGCGTATGGCACCTGGATAGATGCAAGCATCTTTCCAAGGACGGTGACGTAGGTTGAAATCTTCGGGGGGGATATGCTAAAGTAGTATCTTAGGCTGAGATCTCAAGAAAGATTATCCCAGGGAAGGGGGCTGGGTGGTGACATATGACACCTGGATACGCGACACATCAGCTAACTTATACTGGGATCCCACGCCGGGTCTGGCCGCACGTTTGCCTGAGCAATCCTCTCCTCCGCCTCCAACTGAGACAGCGCCGCCTTCATTTTCTCGAGCTCTTGAAGACGCCGGAAAATTTCATGTCCCGAATCTGGACTGGTCGGGCTTGCATGGCTCGCCCGTGACTCTAACGACGGTGCAACCGTAACGGTTGGCGCCTTGGCTCCACACACGCACTCCGAAGGCAAGAGACAAGACGTATAAGACGTAGGCCGCCAAGATGCTTGCTGACAAAGTCCTGGGGGTCCACACAAGCTCAAGCCGAAATCCGGCTCTGAATTCTCATCGTCCGAGTGGTTGGCGAAGAATGCTGGACATCGTCGACTCGCGGCGGTACTGCCTTGGCTAACGGACTCCAGCGTTTCCTCCCTCTTCACCGCCTTCACGACCTTCGACTCCCTGGACTTGAAGAATCGTGGCACTGGAGGGCTGTCAGGAGGGTAGCCTGGGCTGAGACTCTCGACATCGAAGGCCGTCGTGTTCATCGTACAGACGGCGGATGGATGCGGGATGCCAAGAGCGATCCAAGCAAACGGCTGCGGATCCGACAGTGTCAGAAATATGACCTGGCCCACTCTCATGAGGGACAGCAGAGCATCTGCATCCTAGCACAGCTTATCAGTAGCCAATAAGAAGCCAAGGTGCTCGAGGGCATCTGCTTGGATCTCTTGGGTAAACTTGTACTGTTCACCTCGAATGGGATCGTAACCATGCCCATGAGCACACCCTCATGTGCTCGGGCCCACTCTGAGTCTTGTTTTTCAGGGCTGGACTAAAGCGCCCAAGCCCAGAGTTGATTGCAACATACAGCATTGGAGGCATGCAGTGTCAGCTTTCAGTCTCCGGCAATACGCCCGGTTCTTGGTCAGCGTGGCCGTGGCCTCGCCCCCAGCCTCGGGGGACTGCAGAGCTACCATCTGAAGAGACATGAGGCCGGATTCGATATCTTCGACATGCGAACATGTAGCTATAGGTGTCGAGAGTCGAGATAACATCCAGCCTGACAATGCACCCTGCACAACCGAGCACGCTTTGGCCGCAGCTTCATTGTTGATCTTCTTGACTGCCTAGCGAGTTCGTGGGCAGACTGCAAAGCAAGGGAATCGGCGTTGCTTTGCCTGGTATAAGACCATGAGGAAGCTGACCGCGGCCGGCTGTGAGTCTGCTAGGAAGTGTATGCAACCCGAATTATGGTACTGTAGTAGGCTTCCTTCTCCAATGAGCGAATTGACTCCCATTCCTAGTGTATGCAACCCGAATTATGGTACTGTAGTAGGCTTCCTTCTCCAATGAGCGAATTGACTAAGCTTCACAGCCCGAACCTGCTCGGCTTTGAGCACCTCTGTCGCGAACGTCACCTGTGATCCAGTCTTCCACGTCGAGCCAACTGCCGATCACATGTGCAAAAAAGCTGCACTGCCTTCTTCTTCTGCTGCTCCAAGCGTGCTATGTGGATGTGCTGCTCTTGCACCTACCGGTGGCATGCTTTGGAGAAGCTCTCTTCTAGCCAGAGTGGGACAGGGCCGCCGGGAGGCGGAACCTCTTGCAACGGGCGATGCAAAGTGGATGTGAGCACCTCACCAATCTACCATCAAGATGCTAGCCTTCTTGCAGCAACTTGCGCTCCCTGATTCTCGTTGGCTGCAATTTGTGACACGATTGGAATCACTAGCTCGTGGGGTAACGAGGTGTCAGACAACAGGCATACCGCCGCTATAGCATCACCGTCAGGGTTTAGGGGTTTCCCTCGGTTAAGTACGTTAAGTCACCTGGTCAGCCTTCCCGGCCTGGGTCTCTCGAATGGCATCCTCGAAATCGTCCGGCAGGTGCACGGTGCGCAGCTGGAAGAAAGGCACCTGCGAATCTGCACACTAAGTCACTGCTAAACCAACTGGGAAGCACCGAGGATGGAGAGTGGAGAGGCCGGAGGGGTGACAAGCAGAGGGAGGAGCATTGTAGGGTAGTGAGTCAATGTCTGAGGCGAGAAATGCTTATCTAATTTGCCTGGGTAAACTACAGCACAACAACTCAGATGCCAGACTATCACGTTTGAGCAACTAGCCCCGCTGATGCATTGCTGGCGGATGACACAGCGTCTTCTCCAGTCTGCATATCTGTAGCACGGCTCCAATCGAAGTGCACGGCTCCAATCGAAGTGCATCGGCTGATTCTACAGCGGCACTCCCAAGGCCTCCGCAAACGCGTGCTTTCGGAAATGTTCCTGGGGAGCCATGTTGCTTTGGTGCGCTGAACTCCGCAGATTGTAGCATGATCCCTCAATCGAGAAGCTTTGGGATGCAGCCGCTCAAGCATGCTAGAAACGTACCACCGCGCGTGGATCGGGGCTGGACTCGATTCCCCCTGTGCTTGCCGTGTCGCGTCAAGCTTTCGATGCATCTCTGTGCTCACGTAGGTACGATTCCTGACGCAAAATTTAGCTCGGAGACTGTGCTTTCTCAACGTGGCAGTCAGCATGACCAGTGCCGGGCTGTGCCTGAAGAAGAAGTGCGCATTGTGGTGCGTCGTGGCTGTCGACAGCTGCTCCATGGCCATCCGCGTGAAGGTCGTCTCGTAGTGGTCGTGGCCAAGAGTTGCCCACCTGCGAAAGTATGCAAAACTGGACCTTGCCACTGGAGGATTGTGAATTCCTCTAGGCCACGGACAAATTGTATAGCTGGCTGAAGATCAGCTTGTACTGGAAAGACACTTCCTTGGACACAGGAGCGGCTGCCACAAAACAGAAGACTTGGCATCGCGGGATTTGAATGGTTATCGCCTCCATCACGGAGACGAAAGATTCGTCCTACCAGTCCTCGCCCCGTGAGCTCATAGTACAAAACAGAACCCGGTGAGAGCTCAAAAAACATCTGCAGCATCAGAACACACATGCCTCATATATTAGAAGGAACATGACATCAATAACAACATCGGAAAGCGAGTACTTGATCTCGCAATTTGCGGCAGGCAAAAACCCATCGGTCAAGAACCGTCAAGTTGCAATCACATGAGTGACTTCATTCTGCAACTGACGAAATTCGGAGAAACCCCAATCAGTAATTTATATATATATATATATATTCCGAGTCTCCAAGTGAACGGTGAGGCCGTCCTTCGTCCGGCTCTGCAACGCCGGACCCTGGAGGCCCTCTGCCCAATCGTCGATGAAGCTGATGGACTGCACCTGGTTATTTCAACTAAAACCAAAACCCTCGCCAGTCCCTTTGGACTCGAAAAATCTTGGGTGTGCGTCCCCGATGTAATGGTGGCAGGCAGGTCGCTGTCCGAGGAAACTTGATGAACCGGTTCGTGACGCCGAGATAATATCCTTGAGGAGGGCAGAGGCAACTGGACTACACTGCTGGGGCCTCCGGCTGGCAGTCACAAGCTACCTGTCCTGCACAAGTGAAGCCCTGCGAAATCTTTGTTGCTCGATGCTTATAGAATCGCCAGAAGAACTAGCTGCTACAGCTTGTAATGACATTCCGGCGCACGGAGACCTATCACGCCTACCGGCCGAAAATGACGCCATTCGTCTGCCTTTGCAAGAGAATGCAGCAAAGCAAAGGGTTAGCAGCCCTTCCGAAGGCACACACGGAAAGATTCGACGGGGGAGGTCGCCTGCAAAAACGGATCTAAAGCTGAAATCTGTGATGTTCTCGTGCAGGTAGGCTGCTTACAGTAATTGCGCGAAAAGCTGAAAAGCTTCCTGGCACTAACCCACTGGAGCCGGGCAGCTGCCAGGCTTGTAGGGCTCCTTTCCAGGAAGTCGTTTTGGCACTGCTAAGTTAATGATGAGGAAACTCAGGCACCCCGACCACCCGATCAAGCGAGGCCCTCTTTTTTGAGCGTCAACCTAAGCCCGGTGGATTCTTGTCGAGCTTTAGGCCTGCTTGCAAGTTCCCTCACACATTCAGAAAATCAGAATCTCCATTGCTCCGATGCAACAAGACTGCATGTGCTTCTACACAGCCAGTGTTCTGACGTGCAGCCACACCTTCTCAACGCTCTCGCTGAGGAAGCTGTAGTTAAGCCCGATTTGCTGATACCTGGCAACATAATCACGGGGTTGGACACGTTTCGGCGAAACATGCTGGCAGGTTCTCACCCTAGAGTTTCTCACGAGCAACGATGAAGCATGCCACCAATGTGCAGTGTTTGATCGCCAGGCGATGTCTGGTCCCCAGGATACAGTGTGTCCGGAGCTGAACCCTCCCATCCCGTTTGAGAATCTCAACTTAGGCTCTAGCTCTAAACTGTCGAAGCTGAAAATGAAAAGTAGGATCATCGTGGAGATGGCCACGACGACGACCGAAATCAGCCAACATTGCATGGCCACAGCTTCAAATCAGTGCTAACGTCCGGGGCAACTAGCTGACGGGGACGAGAGATGATCGGGACAGGTCCTCGTTTTGCAGCAGATTCGTTTAGACGGGTGCCGAGAACCGTCATGTAGTTCTTTTCAACATCACTGAAAGGAGTTATCTTGCATCGCAGAAGTTCACCACCTACCCTGTGTCTCTATTCTTGTCTTACGAGCTGCCGAGTCTCGGTTTTCAAGGCGCATGTACGCCTCCGGACAGTTGTTTATCTTGAAACTGCTCCATCAAGGATCTTACTTTCCCTTGGTGCTTACTTTCATGTACATGTGCTCACCAGGCTGCACAGCAGCGGCATGCTTATCTTGGATTCACAAGCGCTTGGCTCCGCCAGGGGGTCATGGCGAGACGAAGACTGCGCTGAGCCAGAAAAACAAGTGGAGAGCAGGATTTTCTCTATCATGACGAGACGCAGTGGCAGCATCTGTGTGAAACTTCAGAATCTGGCGTGCATGTGGCAAATATCAAATTCCTCGAGTGGGAAAAATCGACAAGTCGACTGTGATCCATGGCAGCGCCACAAGCAAACCAACGCCTCGGCATGATCTGACGACTGGGCCACACCTGCAGTCAGAAGAGTAGCAGCCACCGTTGGTGGTGATTCCTCTGGCAGCAACACACTTTGGTCACTGCCCCAGGGCTGAACCCAGGGTGAAAGTTCATCGTCAGAATCAGAAGTATCCTCATCAGAAGCCGTGGCTTAGCGCTGCCGCTGCAAGGAGCGGCTCTCACATTTGCCGGCAGAAGCAGCAAGACTCCTCTGACAGGCCTAGCAATGGGACGTTTCCTGGTACCTAGGCCGCAAATTGCTCAGGAGGACTTCTTGGGAGGGATGACTGCGTTGAAGGCCTCCCGAGAGCAACGCTGCACGCAATGCACACGCTACGTGTAGAGTATGCAGAAAACACCGCCTTCTTGAACTCGGCAAAGGTGATCTCGAAATCCCCGTTCGTCGACGCCTGCGCTCCCAGCTCGCTAAAGTCTTCGCCGCGCAGGAGTCGATATGAGCAGGAGCCAATTCCAATGCTTCGGAACTGCAGCCGAAGTGGGCGATGTTTTGCAGACAAGCATCATAAGGATCATAGATGAGTCGCCGCTGCTTCAGATACTTCTTGTTGGAGCCGCACTTAGCCCCATGTCAGGAACGCATCGAAGTGCTGTGTTGTTGGGTTCATGAACTCATCATTTCCGCAAGGCCTCATTACTGAACACCAGCCGACCAATCACACAGCGAAAGCCTGCCATCAAAAAATGGCCACACCGATTACTATGCCCCGGAAAGAGAAAGCAAAGCTATTTCAAACGCCAGGTGTCATAGTAGACCTTTTCATGGCTGAGCCAACAGGAGATGTCTCCTGCCAAGAAGGTGATATTTTAACTCTACCGGCGGCCTGGAAAGGTTCTCATCTTTATGATGCTAGCAGCAGCTGAAAGATGAGAGGGCAGTCCTTTCGGAAAGCCGTCCATGAACTCCGGAATCTCCACCTCGGCTCTTCGCAGAATCTTCTGTGAGGCTGACACTACGATGCGGCCCGAGGATCTTGCGGGCTTCAGAACATCAAAGCTTCCATAAGAGCCGAAACCCTCCGAACTACTCCTGGTCACCAGGCCACAGAGGGATCTTCGGCTTGTCTCCTCGGCCACTTACATACAGCAGCTATGCACACAAAATCTACGGCGGATTCTGACCTCGTTCCACAATGGTTCATTAACAGGTCCTTCGCAAAATACTCACTAAGCCAGCAGTTGTTCGAGCTTGAGAGTCTGAGCATGGACGTGATGTGCATTGTTCTTGAACCCACGAAATGTGTTCAACGCGCACCTCGAAGCTAGACCAGTCTCCATGCCAACTGCCACCACGCGGCGCCTTTGCTTCAGCAATAATTTCATCTTGCTCCTGGCGATGACTTGAACTGGCACTTGCACGTGTTGTTTCATCACCGGCGCATTTGCTTTACGTGTTTTAGCTTTTTGAATAGCAATTGCCTCCCTCCTGTCACCGGTCTGTACTCTGGGCTTTATTTTGGCTTCAAGCCTATGGCTCTCGGCATTTAAAGTTTCGGGATTCGGGTCTCCGCTTGTTGTGAGGGCATTCCCCACGGTGCTGAGGGTATTTTGCATTTAATTTAGGGTTTGAGTGGTGTCACCGATTGGGGTTTGCTGGGGTTCCTCGTGCATGTGTGACCGCGCGTGATATGGGCATGCCAAGGTGTCCTAGCAGAACAGTATGCCAAACCACATGACAGTATGGGAGGTTTAAACTATATCACCCACTGTACCAAAAAACCATAAAGATCAAAGCCAAGGCTGATGGAGACTCCCACTAGCTTAGGCCAGCCGGTCTGTAAACTCGCATGTTCCGGTCGCACCCGCGTGAAGTTGCATAACCATGCAAGGACGAAAAACGACTAAGCAGCTGGCGACTTGAATTCGAACCGGGGATTGTGCACACGCAAGACCCAACATCTACAACCGCTCGAAGCGTGAAACTGTGACACTTTCCTCCCTCATGTGTGGCTCCGCATGCTTTCAACATCATATCTCAAATCCTTGACCCTCGAAAGGATTGGTAGCATGGTGCGAGGACATGTGACTGTACTTGAGGTTTTGGGCCGGAGCAACGGCATAGCCATGTAGGTGGAAGAGAAAGAGAACGTCCCGCTTGAAGCTACACGACAAGTAGACTCCTAGCTAAAAAAGCGGGAACGTTGCGGATCTTTCGACGACATCTCTGCCGCTTCCCGGAAGCCGCGGCTGACGTTTCTTTGGGAGCATCTTATCATTTCTCTGTGCTTATCGTTTCATTCTGCAGAGCGAATGGCCACGATAGGCTCTCATCTTCATTTCGCATGGAGGGTGTGCTCCTTGTAAGGCACGAGGGTGCCATCGTTGGCTCACAATGCTTGCCATCAAGACTGGCTCCTCCTGCGTCAATGGCTTCTTCTTCTTCTTCCGGGCCTTCTGGACCTCCCGATTCAGCGGATGTGTGCGAACGAAAGAGTCCTGCCCGTGAAAACGCTCGCGATTCGGTCGGACCGAAACTGTGATGATTCTGCCAATAGAGCAAGCGTTTCTGCACGCACGAAGCCCTGCGACTTCGCACTTGTAGCAGTCCATGGAAACGAATCGGTGTGATTCGGAGTCTTTAGCGCCAATCTCGCAGAGGTCTGGGGGCTGCACATCAATTTGATCAAACACTTCTTTCCTCGGATGTGCAAAGCAACTTGCTTGTGACGTGGCACCACACGCGGGTACAGCTCTTCTCAGCCGCTGCAAACGAAAGGCCCGGTTCAAAAATCTGGGAAAACCCGGGATTTGCTGTACGAATGTACCTGCAAGTCCCTGCTCCTGCAGCCGTTGCGCACAAAGCTTCTCATAATCTAGTAAGGTTGTTGCTGAGAAGCCATTTTGGAAAAGGGAATGTTCGGGCCCTGCGAAGTACAACTGTTACAAGCTACAGTCTGCGAAAGTAGACGATGCTTCTAATAGTGCTCCTCCCGTCGTTTAGACTGAGTATAGGAGCGGAGCTTGTTGATCACTTGACACGTTTCCGGTGTTGCAAGCATTGCAGCCAGGCATCAGCATCTCGTCGGACATGTCAAAGCCGAGAGATTTGCAGCTCCTCCAATCGGCAACTTCATGATTGGTATCACTTTGCCGAATACAAAGCTTGGCTACAGGTAACGACTTCCTTACTCAGCCCCGCATCTCAAAGAGACCGCGTAGTTTTCGGCAAGACGACATAAGCCCTTCTCAAACTCTCAAACAAGGGGACTGCTCTCGATTCTGTGAAACGGCCACTCTTCTTCCCTTGTCCCGTACACCGTGCCCGAGAAGGATGGTGCGTACCAAGCATCGAGTGAAACTCGGTGAAGGAGATCTTGCCGCTTCCGTTTTCTTGGTGTGCAGATGGTGCGGGGCTTGGGATACATGTTGGCAACTGCTTGGAGGCCTCGAGCCCTCAGGCAGAGTCAGACGTCTGTCACAAGTACAGACGCCAAGTCGGCACCCCTATTCGGGCACTGTGCAATGCCTGCAAAAATCAGCCAAGCAACCATCCATCTTTCGAAAGATGTCCTAAGCTCAGATAAAGCGACGCTGAGCTGCTATTGACACGTGCAACATGATGCAACCACACCTGCATCTACTCGACCTACTCTCCAGCCATGCTCTGTGCAACAGACGCCAAGCTGCCCGAAGCTTCGTGGGCTTCTCACCTCAGCCACGCACTGGGGGAGGAGCTTTCGTGTGGGCAGCGAGCCATCACACGGTCTTCTGCCTTCCGCTGGAGGGGTGTCCTTCAGCTCCTGGATGTGGGAGACAAACTCGTCCATGGCCTTGATTTGATCAGCTTCTGAGGGCCACTGAGCTCATTGGCTTCGTCTGGTAGGACACCTAGTTGTGACCTTTTTTTCTCTCGGATGTAACTTTCCAGCTCCTGCAGCAAAATGACTGAGTTGTAACTTTTTTCCGGCTCCCAAAACAGCAAATCTCTGCAGAGGCTTGCAAAAGAGTCATCTAAGTTATCACTTTTTTGGATGTCTTTAGCCCCAAGCCACTAACTTTTCTGGTGCACTAACTTGTTCTGGTGTATTTAGCACAATACCTTTTTTGTGCTGCATTTAGCACCAAACCAGAACCGTCACACAAGATTCATCTAAAGCTTTCGTCTTGGGTAGACGGTTCTCGCTGCATCCACTTCTTGGGGTTTTCGTCTTGGGCAAACCGTTCTCGCTGGATTCACTCCTAAGTATTGTCGTCTTGGGTAAAAGGTTCTTGCTGGATTCACTCCTTGGGGTTTCTGTCTGGGTTTTCGTCTTCGGGAAAAGGTTCCTGCTGGATTCACTCCTGAGGGTTTTCCTCTTCGGCAAAAGTTTTCTGCTGGATTCACTCCTTAGGGTTTTCGTCTTTTCCAAAGGTTCCTGCTGGATTCACTCCTTTTTGGTTTCGTCTTCGGCAAAAGTTTTCTGCTGGAATCACTCCTTAGGGTTGTCGTCTTTTCCAAAGCTTCCTGCTGGATTCACTCCTGAGGGTTTTCGTCTTCGACAAAAGTTTTCTGCTGGATTCACTCCTTAGGGTTTTCGCTTTGGGNNTTGGGTAAAAGGTTCTCGCTGGATTCGCCCCTTAGGATTTTCGTCTTGTGGGAATTAAGTGGGGGGTAGTGGCGGTAGGCGGGGTAAAAAGTTACGTCTAAGAGGCAAAAGTTTCACATCTAAGAGAAATAAAGCTACAACTTAGCCTGCTACCGCTCCGTCTGCTCCACGCTCCAGAATCTCTAAACCAGCTCCCTNNGAGCTTCGGAAGCCGTGGCTGGACCACCCATTACTTTCTTCGTTATGACCTGGGCCTCAACAGGGTAGTCCACAATGCCGGGTCTATCGAGTTTGCACTCCACTTATGCGACGCCGCAAACCTCTGGTTGGAGCAGTTTTATTGCATCTTTCAGAATCAAGGTCCCACAGGTCTTGGGCTTCTAGAATCTGCAAGCCTCGCTGCGTCTCTGCTGCCTATCCCCCATGCAGCACCCACTGGCAACTTTGCAGGTGTGCGCTCACGACTGTGGAGTTCAAAAGGCGATGCACGGAAGCTAGTAGTCTTCCTGAACTTGCTAGCCCCAAGCTGCATGCCTCCGACGAGCCATGGAACAACC